GGTTCAAATGATTCTCCTGCCTCAGCCTCCTGAGTAGCTGGGACTACAGGGGCATGCCACCATGCCTGGCTAATTTCTTGTATTTTTGTAGAGATGGGGTTTCACTGTGTTAGGCAGGATGGTCTCGATCTCCTGACCTCATGGTCTGCCCACCTCGGCCTCCCAAAGTGCTGGGATTACAGGTGTGAGCCACCACGCCCAGCCTTCACTTTATCTTTCTAAAGCAGAAAAGTTTTTCATTTGGCTCCTGCCAGCCAAAAGCACAGGGGTGCTGGTATGTTTAGTTTATTTATGAAGCTATGTGCTCTTGACTACTCTCATCTAGATACTACCGAATAGATAAACAGGTTCGTTCACTATGAGATACTTCTGGCAAAGACAGGTTAGAGCCGGTCTTCCTGTGGCATCTGCTACCAGAGTCAGCTCCAAGTAGATTTGTGGAGTAAGCAGGATTTGACTTGATCATCTCATATTCCCCTTCTATATACCTTCTTTTTCCCCATTTTAATATCCCTCCTTCCCCTAGCTTAATTCATTTAACCCATCACTTATAGTGCTTAATTCAACATTTACAGTATCATTTGCCAGGCACTGTGCTTGGTTGCTCTGCCCTGGCCCCATAATATCTGTGGCCTTCACTATTACTTGGAAACTGGACTTGGTCCTTGTTATTCCCTAGCCTGAGCCTATCTGAAAAACATCTCAGACTGAGAGGAGTGATCAAGTTCCATCATCATCTCAACTTTGGAAAATTTAATTTTTAAATGGATGCCTCCGAATGTCATACATAGATACAGATGTATGTGTGTCTGTTTATGTACCTATGTAATCTGCATCTCCTCAGCTTTGGTTGGCTGATTCGAGGGAGAATAGCTGTAGTGATATATGAGTTCGCTATTGCTTCATTGATGGAGTATATTAGAGGCTTGAGATGGCTCAACAATACTGTTGAGGAAAGGTAGCTGTCCAAATAGAACCAGAATGGTATTATTTTAGAGGAAAAAATGAAGCAGTTGAGAAGTACATGCTTTTTCCTTTCATCACCACTACTGCTACGTTTTTTTTTAAAGTAGGATGATTCTAATTTTTCCAAAGGTCTCCATTTTCACAGTAGCTGGCAGAGTCCACACAAAAAGAGGGAAGAGCACCTGACTGGACATCCTGAGATCTGGCTCCTGGCCTCCCTTGGTGCAATTAGATGAAGTATCTTGCTCTCTGGGAGAAGAATTGTAGCATACATTGCAGTGGAAAGATCATGGGACAAGTATCAGAAGACCAGGAGTCTAGACTGCCCTCTGCTAGTAGCTAGGTGTGTGCCTCATGGAAAGTGACTTACCTTTCTTGAGTCTCAGTGTCCTTGTGTTCAGCAAAGTAACTGGTCTCATGTAAAGTATGAAAATGTTCCAATACCAAATGAACATTATAAAGGCTCTTGGTGGCTACCACACATGCCCAGCTTTGACAGTTTAAGGGCTTTCTGGGGATAATCCAATGGGTCAGCAAATGGATTGATGGTGGTCTGCTGTGTTGGCCAGAATAACAGGTTCACATTACCAAAGGGAACCATATGTGAGGCTAAATGCAATGGTCTGGCCTGATTGGTCATGGGTCAACCTCTGCAAAACCTGTGCTTCCTGATCTCAGTGACACAGCTCTGCACTGAATTTTTTGTTTTTCTGTCTTGTCAATTTGGCTCACTGTTGGCATAGAAGAAACTGCTTGCACCTCCCTGAAAGTCATTTCCAGGGTAGTCTGGCTCTGCTGCTCAGACATATCCCATTCCATCTGTTCCTCCCTGAAACAGAGGGCTGGCTACCCAGCTTCACATCCAGGCAATGAAATAGAGCAAGCAGAACTGATGCAACATTCAAGCTGTAGGTTTCCTAAGCGACTTAGCATGCTACACTGAATCTCAGTAGGCTCCAAATGGATTGAAAGCCGGAAAATGGTGGAATTAGACATTCCATTTTAGCTTTGACCTAATCCACAACTCCAACATTTTCTGACCAAGACACAGGATTCTGCCCCTCTGGAGCGACCGACTTGCATTTTCTTCCTTTGACCTAACCTTGCTACCTGAAGGGTAAATGGATAAAATTAAAGAGCTCAGGGATTGCTTCTCAGGAGCCTTTATTGATATCCCCATATAACCTATTTCCCACCCCAACCCTGGTGTCAGCTAGGACTTGTAGGACTTAAATACCACGTTGTCATCCTCTGTCCTCCCTACTAAGACTGTGAGCTGCTCGAGGGTACCTATAGTATTTTATATTTATATGGCTCCAGAGTCTAGTGCAATGGCACAAAGTAGATGCTTAATATATTTTAGTTACTACTACTATTATTATTATTGGTGCCAAAGAAGGTTTTTTACCAAAATTGTTTATTTGGGTACCTCAGGTGGGCATATCATTATCCTCTTGGAGCCTCAATTTCCTCGTGTGTGCAACAGAAATAATAGTGCCTGTTTCATGAGCTTTTGGTAGGCAAGGATTAATGAGACAAAATGTACCAAGTGCTTGGGACACAGGTTGGCCCATAACACTCAGTGAACACATATTCCTTATTTTTAGCCACGATGCATATTTGGGGCAACTTGACTTTTGCATTTTTGTTTTCTTCAAAAACAGAGAAGACTGAATTTCTTTTCAGGGAAGAAAAGAACCCTCCTTCTATCTCCTAGCCTGTGTCTGGCCTCAAAAGAACATAGGAAAAGTCTTAAAAACTGCTCTATATCCTATTGTCATTAGGTCAAACAACATCAGAACATGGCATCCTCTGTGCTGGTTGTTGTGAAAATACATCATGGGGAAAAGCCTTGGGGTGGAGACATCTACCTATCCCCCCCTCACCACCACACACACCAAAGCTAAGGAAATGCATAGACAGTTCAGCAGGAACTGGCAACACAGTTCTGAACTAGAACACAGTGCCTAAACATCCACAGGCACTGTTCTATAAAGTGTGAAAAATGCCCTTCACAGTCTCACCATATGCACAGAAGGTCAGTACTGCTCCCGTTGAAAATGATATCCTGAGAAGGAGAAAATGTGCAGTAATGGAAAAAAGGAAAAATCTCCTGAAAACTGATGGGAGAGGACTAAGAGAAGGAGCACAGTGCAAGAAACCCTGGCACACATATCTAGGAAGAGCATGTCGGATAACCTGTAATTTTTTCACAACAAAAACAATGAAGAATTCAGAACTAGCTCAGCCTATGAGTCACTATACATGACAAGTAAAAGACACCTAGCTCAAAATGTGCAAAGAGGGAGACCCTTCACCATGGCAGAAGCTTGGGATGTGTCCAAGTATGGCAAGTGAGATATAGATCATTTTTTATCTACTTAAGAATGTATTTATTCAGGTCTCCCACTGTTGAAAACCTGGGTATGGTATTAGGTATGCATTCTCTATGTCATCTTAACTCAGATTCTACCAGTTGCTCCTTTTGTAGCTCACACGGAGATTCTTCACTCAAAAAGTAAGAGAGTGAACTCCTGCAAAGTCAAAAGAAACAAGGGAAGGCCCCTTTGGAAAGGCAACAGCAAATCACAAACATCCATAATTATACATCAGGGTCTAATAGATGGAGATTGTGCCCTGTGGTTGTTGGTGTGACAGGTAGGTACAAGGTGCCCAGGTAGGGTCTGCCATTGTTGTAAGCATGGAGTTAAAAGAAGTTCTGCAATGCCATCCCTGTTAACTGAGAGTGCGTGTTAACAATGAATTGGGACTAATTTGAAAACATTCAGCTGCCTGGGAATGTGTGCATCAATTCACTTCCTTCATAATTTATACAGCATTTTGATTGTGGTGCTCAGCAATAAATAACTGAAATGAGTTCTAACTGCTTGGAGATTTAGTTTTATGCCTTTAACACCATTTTTTATATTCCGCAAGATAGCTTGCATTCAACTTTATATGCAAACCTGAAATGGTATTCAGAGGAAAATAAGGAAAAAAAGGCAGCCAATAGATCTTTTGCTTTGGGAATTGAATATAAGATCATATTCAAAGTGCAGCATCTATGGTCCAATGCAGAATACATAAAATATATGACCATTACAAATTCACCTTTCATTGCAAAGCTGTGCTCTTGTAGTGACATATCTTATTGCTAGATTAGAGCTTTTAGCATGATGAAGGCATCTTTCATCTTCTCCTAGATGCAGGCTGGGTGCTCTTTCTGGACTGTGCTTCTGCCTGTCACAATGCCCCACACCCTGGAGAGAGAGCTTACAGAGGAGTCATTCACCACAGGGCTGAAGCAACTTCCAAGGGGAAGTGTCTAATTAGAGGTATATCATCTGCATGGGATCACACTGCCTGAGTTTGCCACAATTTGCTGAAGCCAAAGGGAGAGATCAGCTGGTGTTGTCTTCTGGAATAAGCCCAAGAAAGGTCAATCTAATATCGCAAATATTCAGCCCATACAAGTTTTGGTAATACCAAGAAGACAGTTTCATGTAGGACTTGGTGCATGTTAATAACTAGGAAAAGAATATACATATCATGTAAATCAGTGATATGGTTAAAACATAAATGTACTTAAACCAGGAAATTTATGGAAAGGCTTACCAGATTCTTCTAACTCAAGTCTAAACCTCAGTGTATGGATCAAGACAGGTTTTCATGGACCTTGTAAGTCATAAATCAGTGCTGCTGCTGCTGCTTTAATTCTTCAAACTTGTAATTCAACTCTTACATTGCCCTTATGGACTTATGTCCTTGCCCTTCACAGTCAGCCCTAAGCTATCTTTCCAGAGTCATCTCCTGACTTTCCCATCCCTCTCCTCCCTCTTCCCTAGTTCTTCATGCACCCAATATTACTGACACATGCCTTGCTCGTTTCAATTCCCCAGTGATGAGCCCAGTGGCAAGCACACAGAAGACACTCCACAAATCCTTGTTGAATGAATATGAATAAATGACAAAAGGCAGACAGCACTTGACTTTTTGACAGCTATGTCAGATGTACAGAAGCACTTTTCACTTACTTCCCACTCTTAGATGTGTTCCGGGTCTTTGTGGATGACGGAGAGTTGGCGCCTGCGTTAGTGTTTGGAGAACCCCGTTTATCCTTACTATACCCACAGAAAGAATAGAAAACATATACACAACAAGGACCACAGAGACAAAAAGCAATTAGTCACTTCATTTAAAGACTTTCAAGGCCAGCCCACCACCCCCGGCCAATCTCTCTCTCTCTCTCCTGTCAAAGTATGATCTTATCCAGTTGTGCCCTTTAAAGGTAGAGAGTGGGAACCACTGGTCAAGTTCAAAGAAAGCTACCCTTTTGGCATTCAAAGCTTGAACTCATGAATTCCATTAATGATAGCACCACAGCCCAGGCCCCAAGGGGGCCTCTAGTTTAAAAGATATATATATATATATAGTCTTTAAAATAAAATCATTTCTTTCCAGGCACTGAATTCTCTTCATTACATGTTCAGTTCTGAAGCTGCTGACTTTTAGTGAAGTATGTGGATGCCAAATGACTTCTAAAAGTCTTTGGGAGATACTATCAGATGAATTAATAATTTTCACTCATAATGTTACATGGGAAGGCCGTGAATTCAGATATTCTTTCAGAAGAAGCACCACCTGCTTCATGAGTAATTGAATTTAAATCTCCACCTTCAATAACTCCACAGCTTATGTCAAACCTTGGAAACAATTACGAAATAAATCACAAGGAAGGCCTGCTTAATCTCATCAGGTTAATAAACGCAGACGAATTAATCACCTAAAGGTAAACAAAAAGGAATAATTGATTGGAGTCTTCTTGATTACTTTATTCTATTTCCTTTATCAAACTATTTTACCATTATCTTCAGTTCAGCTGCTCTGCCTTGAAATTATTCCTTTACTTCATCTTCAGATTTCCATGGAAACCAATTCAAAGTCTTTCTCTCCACTTGACGATGTGTGGAATTATTTATCCTGATTTCATCAGGAAGATTTTTTTTTTGTTAGTAAGTTCTATGTCAGCATAACCTTTTATAAAAAGTGAAGGTAAGAAAGAAAAATATGTATCTTCATATTTAATGTGTATAATAGAACCTTCCAGTGGCAAAGAATATTGCCTCAGAAAATGTCAAACAGCTTTTCAGATATTTATGAACCTTTTAAGTATCTCCAAAATAGGTGTCTGCAAGTAGCTGTATTTATATGTGGGGTGGGCTGGGGGTCACAAAAGATATTCTGCCATGCACCCATCAGCTTCAAATGACTTCATGGATATGACTGGAACAAGAGATAATCATGGGTTCCTGGTGATTGCAAAGGTAATAAAATGTGTGTGGGCACGGAAAAAGGCTGATCAGGAAAAGTCAGAGAGATAGCAACTGTCCAAGCACTTAAGAGTCACCATCTACGCCGGGTGCAGTGGCTCATGTCTATAATCCCAACATTTTGGGAAGCTGAGGCAGGTGGATCACGAGGTCAGGAGTTTGAGACCAGCCTGGCCAACATAGCAAAACCCCATCTCTACTAAAAATACAAAAAAAAAAAAAAAAAAAATTACCCGGGCATGGTGGCAGGCATCTGTAATCCCAGCTACTTGGGAGGCTGAGGCAGGAGAATAGCTTGAACCCGGGAGGCGGAGTTTGCAGTAACCTGAAATTACGCGACTGCATTCCAGCCCAGGTGACAGTGTGAGACTCCGTCTCAAGAAACAAAACAAAACAAAACAAAAACCGTCTAGGGGGTATGAAAAACAGCTCTTAGAAGTGGGAGATACCCTTGTGAGCTCTGGCTCTGCTGCTGGAGTGGATAGCTCTGGAGAGAGTGGACACACATTCTATCCCAGAGGAGGGGGCAGAAATCCACTGGAATGAGGTGCTGGGATTCCTGCACAGTGCAGGGATCATTACCCTGTACCACTCACAGACTCACCAGAATGTGGCCACATTCTGAGTGGGGACTGAAGAACTCACTTGGTGCTGCCTCTATCCATCCATGATGACTTCCTGGCAAATGATTCCTTAGGGACGTGAGACCAGGGATCATCCTGACTGTCCTCTTCACAAATTCAAAATTGTCTCTTCCAGAAGTTTGCCATAGCCTGATGCAAAGAATGCAATATGCTAATATGCTCTGTGTCACAAAAGTAGGTGTCAACTTCCTCACTCTTGCACCCTGGTCACTGGTCACTGAATCTTCCTCCTCCTAGCCCCTCACCTAAGCAGTAGGCAGTGGGAAACTTGGCTGGAAGCATTCAGAAACAAGGGATATTTTTGATGTGTCTCATGCACACTACTGGGCTCAGAGTAGGTGGTGATTTAAGTCATCACTAAATCACTAAGTGCTGAGTCACTAAGCTCATTCATTCACTTTTTTAAATTTATTCTTTATTTTTTTATTTTTTTTGATAAAACAACATCCTCCACTGCTAAATTTCCATGTCTGTGCCTTGGGCACTAGGGTCCTCTATAGTCTACATTATAATTGACCCTGTTTAAGCTCAATGCAGGACACAGTAGGACAACAGGGAAAGCTATCAGCTGGCAGCGACAGCCTTATTATTGTCAACTGGTGCTCTAGCAGGAGGTGGTCCTGGAGCAGTAATCCTTTAAAAGATAGGAATAAGGGCCCCTCTGACCTACAGTGCAGATATTGGGGAAATGAAAACAAAAACATTCTCAGGAATAAATCACACAGGAAAGGCATGGCACCAAGAATAGAGGTAAAATTAATCAAGTAACTGGAAATGTTTTTTCTATGCAAATAACAGATCCATTAACGGTGACGAAATGTATCTGAAAGGGGGATCGAGAAGAACTTGTGGCTAGCTTGGATCCTAGGAGCTTAATTTTGTAGATGTACTGACTGTGGTATAGAAAAGTTTACCTAACATTGACAGAAAAAGTCTTCATTCCTCCACCAAAATCCAGGTCAGTTAGATAAGCCTGGGCAAGATGCCACAATTCTGAAACTTTGAGAGAGAAGGAGATCAAAGCAGTGATATCAAGGACACTGCATTTTCCAGAAGGGTCCCATGAGAAATAAAGAGAAAATGCTGCAGCTGCAGACTGACTGGTAGCTTCAAAGATCTTTGGGGAAAAGACCTAAAGATTAAGATCCTGCCAAGAATTCTGGTCACTGAAACATCCCGCAATCCCAGGGATTTACAGGAATAAACCCAATCTGTTTCAAAGACATACAGATATAATTTTGGATATATGAGATTGGTGGGGGGTGGGTGCTCTTTGATTTAGAGTTCCTAACTTACATATCTGAAACAGATCTACCCCAGTGGTTGTTCTTTTGATTTGCCCATCTCTAGACTACTTGTCAGCCCTCGTCACTTTCATCTTGTCTTTGAATTGTAATCTCAAACGCTATGTCCTACAATTTCCAAGGGTATGGATCCAGGCTTCCTCTACTTCACCTGAGTAACTATCCTTTTCTATGGATAAGCTGCTTTCCTCTCTCTAGTGCCTCACAACCAAGCCTCATTAAAGGCTTATGAAAACAATTACAGGTGAGTTTCTGTTAGGAAAAGTTAATGAGTGCTAGCACTCCTTCTATCTGGTTGGCTGTCCATCTCCATCAAGAAAACCCTTTCCCACAGGCTCCATAAATGTCTCCAGCACTACAAAAGTGAAAAAACAATTTGCAGTATTATGCACATTGTATTCAGGTGGGAAAACTGCAACTAATCCAACTCTTCAGCATTTTCAAAGTGTTTCTGATTGAATGATTTGATGCTGAAATGGTATCCAGTGTAGTTAAACCAAAATGGCAATCAGACCCAATCCAATCTGAATTTTGCTGTTTGGTCAAAGGTACTTGTGGGAGAAGAACCCCATGGCTTAAAACACACCTGATTCACTTTCTTGATGGGTGGCATACAGAAACTTCTGCATCTCCTTTGTAGGCTCTTTTTGGAATTAACTAATCTCAGATCCCTGAAAAATAGTTGTGCTGATACAACTACAATAGTACTGAAATTTTAAAAATTAATTTTCAGGGTCCCAGGAAATTGAAATTATATTTCAAAATAACAGGTTTGGCTATGATATTTATTGTCTACATATCTTTTACTAGCCATTTAGCATGTGGTGCTCGTGGTGTTGCTTATATTTTATTATTTATCTGTCTCTCTAACTCACTTTTAAATGGGCAGTCAAAAAATATTCGTTGAACGAATAAATTAAAAAGCTGCATTTGGGCTCAATGGAAAGAAGTGTCATGATTGAGTATTAATGTCTTGCACCAGTTTGAGAGAAGGAAGTGGTGACACATGTCTCATATCTTCCATCCCTGAAGAGGAATGGTCTGGGAGAATTGGACTCCAGTCACTGAAGGTTGGTCATCATGTGTATCACAAAGAAGGTAAGCTTAGAAAGGACTCTCAAGTAAGCTTGCTTGGATGGTTGAAGAGTGCCTGTGAAATAACACATCTGTTGTATTTGTATAGTCCTTAATGTTTTCCAGTGTGTGTTCTTGTGATAACTGAGATGAAACCCACCTTATTGTTGAGGGTTTGTTTCAAGTCTCTCTGAGGGAAATACTAGCTATTCTTTACTCCCTAGAGATGCCTCTTAGGCTCCTGAACACTCCCGGACTGAAAAAAATGCACTTAAAACAGATAGACTCTCCCAGGGATAAAAGTTCATCTAGTCGGCCTCCCCAACAGGTGCTTAAGGCCCCTCTCCAACAGATACACCAAGTCGTCATGTTTTGAAAGGTTTTTCAATCATGATTGTTTCCCCATGAAAACCTGCTTTTCTCTTTTCTAAAAGGCTCACATTTCTGAAGTATGTTTGCCGTTGTTCTATTGTTGAGCAAGACAGCTCTTCAAATATTGATTTCCTTTAATTAAAGCTGATAATACTTCTGCATTTCGTTTTTTCTATCTTGTTAGGTTATGTCCTGAGTGGTTTTCTTTGTTCCAAACTTTTTCATTTCTTTTGCCCAAGGTGTCTAAATTAGAGTCCTTGCCCCTTGCAGTAACTTATGCCCATTATCTATATTTCTGATAATCATCTGGCAAAGAAAGTTCAGTTCAGTGAGATGTACTTTTATTTAGCATCCTCTTCTAGTTCCCCTTTGCTTAACTATGGATAATAACTGAGAA